CTAGCGGGTGTTTCTGGAACCGCTGCATATCTGGACGATATCATATTGATGGGTCGAACACCGGAAGAACTCTTCAACCGCTTGGATGAAGTGCTTGGTTGCATACAGTCGTACGGCTTTCCGGATCCGTGAGGATAAATGCACATTTTTCACGCCGCTCATCAAATACCTCGGGTTTATCCTCGAAAAGGATGGACGTCGACCAGACCCGGAAAACATCGAAGCCATTAGAAAAAATGCCTCCACCCACAGATCTACAGTCCTTGCGTTCCTTTTGTGGGCTCATCAGCCACTACAGCGCATTCTTGCCTGAGATGCACCGTCTGCGTGCCCCGTTAAACAAGCTACTAGCCAAAGGACAACCTTGGAACTGGACAGCAGAATGTCAGAATGCCTTCGAACGCGTCAAGTCACTGCTTGTCTTCAAACTTGCTTTTGACACATTTCGATCCCTCCAAAGAGATCGTCCTAACCACAGATGCATCAAGCCATGGGATTGGTGCAGTAATTGCACACACGTACACCGATGGATCTCAAAAAGCAATCGCCTATGCCGCCAGAACACTTACGAAGGCCGAGAAGAACTACAGTCAGATTGAGAAAGAAGCATTGTCCATAGTGTACGCGGTTAAGAAATTCCACAAAATGCTATACGGCCGCCGCTTCAAGCTTCTGACAGATCACAACCCTTGCTCGCTATCTTTGGTTCGAAAAAGGGCATCCCGGCCTACACAGCCAACAGGCTACAACGTTGGGCTCTTACCTTAATGGGGTATGATTTCGAGATCCAATATCAGTCGACAGTTTCCATTGGCCAAGCAGATGCACTGTCACGCCTAATTGATACCCGTCAGCAAGAACATGAAGACACAATCATTGCCTCGGTGGAGATTGAACCAGACGTCAACTTTCTGGTAACTGATGCACTGCACTGTCTACCAGTTACCGCAGAAGCTGTACGGACCGAAACACTTCGGGACCCAATACTCAAGAAGGTTACTCAGTTTCACAAAACAAGTTGGCCACGTTCATGTCCATCTGCCGAGTTGCAACAGTATTTTCAGAGGAGACACTCACTCTCTATTGTAAACGATTGCATACTATTTTCGGAAAGAGTGGTCATCCCCAAGGCACTTCAGGAGCGCCTTATTCGACAGTTCCACGCCGGGCATCCTGGAATCAACCGGATGAAGGCGCTTGCCCGCAGTTATGTATACTGGCCCTTAATGGACAAACAGTTAGAAGAAATAGCCAGACGCTGCCAAAAGTGTGCCGATGTCTTGAAAGCGCCACCGAAAGCAGAACTCTGTTCATGGCCAATAGTTTCTAAGCCGTGGTGCCGCATCCATGTCCACTTTGCGGGTCCGATCAACGGGAGAAGTTTCCTCATTATAGTCGACTCATACAGCAAGTGGCCAGAAGTATTTCTCATGGATAACACAACCACCAATGCCACCATATCGAAACTGCGCCAAGCCTTTAGCAGATTCGGCTGTCCTGAGACAATGGTCACTGACAATGGCTCACAGTTTACTTCAGCAGCGTTTAAGGAGTTTTGCAAGCAATGCGCCGTCCAGCACGTTCGCTCGCCGCCGTTTCACCCACAGTCGAATGGCCAGGCAGAAAGATTTGTCGACACATTCAAGCGAGCTCTCCACAAATCAAAAGGGGAGGGACGTATAGAGGAGGTGGTTGACCGGTTCCTTTTCCTCTACCGATCAACACCGAATCCACAAGCGCCAGACGGAGTCTCTCCAGCACAGGTTATGATGAACCGGAAGCTCCGCATGCCTTTCGACGCCATCCGACCGGGCTCGGAGTCCTCTGTTGGTGAAAAAAAACCGCAGAATGGAATGGGAATTTAACCGGCAGCATGGAGCTAAGAAGCGATCATTCACGCTTGGACAGAAGGTGCTAGTACGTGACTACCGGGATGGCCATGCGAAGTGGACGCCAGGGACGGTCAAAAGCAAGCGCGGAAACGTCATGTATGACGTGAAGGTGGGCGCACAGGTCTGGCCGCGGCATGCAAACCAGTTACGTCCCACATTGTGCCAGCCAGAACAAGAAAGGCCTACTGATCTCCCGTTCGATTTACTGGTGGAAACTTTCAACCTGCCGAAGGTAACAGTGGACGACTGCCCAAGGTCGAGCAACGAATCCAGAACAAGAACATCGGAACAAGGCTCTCGGGCGCTTCTGCCAAGGAGGTGGACCGACAGGCAGAGAACACCGTCCCGAAGACTGCAAGTTGATCCCAGGCTTTCCTCTTACACCTCGGAACATATCTCAGGAGGGGAGGTGTCCGGGAGAAAGTAAGAATTGCCTTGGAAATTCCCTATTTTAGCGATTAATCGATTATTAACGATTATCGCATCGATTTCGAACGTTCCTGAATGTTCTTCTTCTACACGTGATCAAAATCCACCTGACCTCTCGGGAAAAGATATGGGGAACCACTAACCTTGGCAGCTGACCTTCCAATTCTAGAAGTCGAAGGTCAGCAGAGACCTATAAATACAGCCAGGGTCCTCAGTCGTTGTACAGTGTTCGTTGGCTGCGATTAATACGTTATTTGTCAGGGTCATTGGCGTCTTGCTTTTTTCCTTCGGTTGGGCTGGGAAGTTTTG